TATTTTGTAAGTTCCCTTTGTTTTCATTCAAATTCTTTTTATTCATTTTATTGTTATTGCAGTACCATTATTTTATGACCTTACCAGTGTTTTGAAAGTTTAGGCGTTCCCCCTCCAAGGGGGGGGCAAACCCATTGTCTCCAGAGCACTCCTACACCCATGGCACCAACAGTCTCATCACAGCCCACTGTGAGCTCTTCCCCAACCCTTCTCCTCCCTTCTCCTGCCCCTGCTCGATGCCCCCTAGGATCTGGTCTACTTGCTAATTTTGTCTTTTTCCTGACCCTTTGTTCAGTTTCTTTGTAATCCTTCTACAAGTGAAACCATCTGATAGTTTCCTTCTGCAACAGTCAGTTTTCAATGGTTGATTTTAAAATTTGTCTTTGATCCTTTGTTTGGTTTCTGTATTGCACATATGAGTGATACGGTACAGTATTTATCTTTCTCCTTATAGCTTATGTCACTCAATCACTCTAGCTCCATCCGTGTTGCCACATATAGCATGAGTTTGTCTTTTTTGACTGCTGAGTAGTATTCTGTTGTGTGTAAATACCACCTATTCTTGATGCCCTCATTTGTTTTGGGGCACTCAGGTTGTTTCTATATCTTGCCTGTTGTGCTGCAATAAACATGGGGCTGCCGGTTTCCTTTCAAATTAGGGTTTTTGTATTTTTGGGTAGATATCTAGGTGTAGGATTTCTGAGTCATGTGACAGATCCATTTTTAGTCTTTTCAGAAACTTCCACACAGCTTTCCATAGGGGCTGGATCAACCTACATTCCCACCAGCAGTATAGGAGGGGTCCTTGTTCTCCACATCCTCACCAGCATTTGTTTTTTCTGGTCTTGATATGGACTATTTTTCAGGTATGAGATGAAGCTCATTGTAGTCTTGATTTATATTTCTCTAATAAGTGATTATGAACATTTTTTCATGCACCTGTTGCTCATTTTTGGAGAAGTACCTATTTCGGTTCTCTGCCCATTTTTTGATTGATTATTTGTTTCTTTTTTGTTGAGTTGTATGAGTGCTTGGTACACCTTTGATATTAGTCCCCTGTCAGATATACAGTGTGCAAATATTTTCTCCCATTTGGCAGCATGTCTTTTCATTTTAATTATAGTTTCTTTAGCTGTGAAGAAGCCTTTTAGCTTGATTTAGTCCCAGTTATTGATATTTTCTTTTGTTTTCCTTGCTGCTAGATAGGAATCTGTAAAGATATCTGAGGTTCATGGCTTGGAATGTTTTGCCTGTGTTTTCTTCTATTTATATTATGGTTTCAGGTGTTACATCCAAGTCTTTTATCCATCCATTCAAAATGTTTAAAAAAATGAGGGATAAAGTGAATGTTCATCTATTTACAGGTTAAAATTAACAAATGCCAATCTGGTTTTCCATGTCATATCAATTGTCATATATAAAAAAATTGTCATAATTGTTAAACAAAAGTTTGTAGATGATAGTTTCTTTAAAACTGAATGACAAACTTGGGAGAAATATTTGCAAAATATATAGCACACAAAATTTAACATCCTTAATTACAAAGCTTTGCAAAACACCATTTGGAAATGGACTAAGGATGTAGTCAACAAAATGGAAATTAAAATGAAGAATAAACATTAAAGTTGTACAACTTCACTAGAAAGAACTACAAATTAAAATAACATCAAATATCAACTTTTGTCTACTATTACAGCTTTTACATTATTTAGTGTTGCAGGAACATGTTGAAACATGTTCTTATATACTGCTGATATAAGGTTAAATTCAGGAGTCCCCTTTTGAGGCTAATTTAGTAATATATACAAAGAGCTCAAAATGGTCATACAATTTTATCTGATAACTTCATTTTAGGAGTCCATATTAATGACATAATCAAAGTTCTACACAACAATTCATTATTGATTTAATAGAAGAAAATTAGGAACCAATGACTGTCCATAGGCAGTGATAAAATGCTACTTCATTATAGCGAAATATTCTGCACCATTAAAAGTAATTATTCTTGGGCCCTCCCTGGTGGCACAGCAGGTTAAAGCACAGCACTGAGAAGCTAAAGCAACTTCAGCATGAGTTCGATCCCCGCCCTGGAGCTTATCCACAGGGCGCAACAGACCTCTCCTGACACACCCACTGCTCCCCTCATCAATGTACTTCAGTCAGTCGGCCTGTTCTGCTCCCCACTCTGTCTCTGATGAATTCTCTCATTGCCCCTGCACCTCTGGCCTGTACCCGCATTCTGTATGCATAAATATATAAATCTATAAAAAAAGTAATTATTCTTGGGCCCTCCTTTGTGGCACATAGCACTATGAACATAGCGATCCTCAGCCACTGCAGCACAAATTAGATTCCCAGCTGGGGTGGGGGTTATCCACATGGTGTGCCAGATCTCTCATGACCTGGCCACTGCTCCCCTCAGCACTGTATTTCATTCTACCTGCCTGTTGTGCTCCCTACTCTGTCTGGTGAATCCTCTCACCTCCCACACCTCTGGCCTATACCCCAGTTCTTATATGCAAAAATAAATACATCTTTTAAAAAAAGTAATTATTTTTAAGAATAACTAATAGGGCTATAGGGGGAAAAGCTGTAGGTGTGCAATTTAGTTTTAACAGTACATTTTTATCAGTTCGTTGATATATAATTTACATGTCATATAATTTGACCTCTTAAAGTGTACAGTTCACAGGCATGAAACTAGGCCACTCACACCATACACAAATATTAACTCATAATGGATTAAAGATTTAGATATAAGACCTGAAATAATAAAACATAGGCAAAACACTTTGTGACTTTGGTTTCTGGGGTCATTTGGAGGACTTAGCTCAAATAGCAAGTGAAACAAATGTGAAAATAAGCACAGAAGATACTATCAAATTAAAAAGATTGTGCACAGTGAAAGAAACTATCACTAAAATTAAAGACACCCTACTGAAAGAGTGAAGTATTTGTATATCATATGTCTGATAAGGGGCTCATGTCCAAAATCTGCAAAGAACACATATCACTCAATAACAAAATAAAACTAGTAACTCAATCAAAAAGGGGTAGATGAGCTAAATAGATACTTCTCCAAAGAACATGGATAGATAACCAAGAAGCACATGAAAAAATGTTCATTATCATTTATCAGGTAAGTGCAAAACAAAAATCACAATGAGATACCTCCTCATACCAGTGAGAATGGCTCTATCAAAACTTCCAGAAATAACAAATGTTGACAAGGATGTGCAGAAAAAGGAACCCTGCTACATTGTTTATTAGAATGTAGTCAATGTTCAACCTCTATGTAAAAGTATATGTAGGTTTCTCAGAATGTTACAAAAGAATTCTACCATATGATCCAGCTAATCTACTCAATGTATTTATCCAAAGAATACAAAGACATTAATCCAAGGTGATATATATGCACTCCTATGTTCATTACAATGAGATTTACAATAACTACTCAGCTTACAATAAAAGTGAAATCTTGCCACCTGGAACATCAATGGAACTGGAAGGGATTATGTTAAGTGAAATAAATCAGAAGTAGAGAGACAAATACCAGATTATCCCACTCATGTAGAATACAAAGAAACAAAGGAACAGATGGAACAAACCCTAGAAATCTGACTGTACAGTTGAGCATCCCAGAAGGGGCTATTGAAATGGAGAGTCACAAAGCAGGATGGTTCACAGTGTCTGTGGTGGAGGATTATTGGTGATTGGCATTGGGTGTGGTGTCACAGCATACATACGAACATACGACTATACCCCTAAACCATATACTGCGTTGTAAGTCAGTATACAGAAAAATTAAGCCACCCATAATCACTGTACCTAAAGATAACTCATATTAACATTTTTATCGTATCCTTTTCAATATTTTCTATGAATAAATTTTTTAAAGTATTGCGATCTTACTGTATTTTTTGAATCTGCTGTTTTCACTAGTACCAAATGTAACTTCCTTTGTCACTGCAATGCTTATTTACTATTTCTCTGCTGTGCAATGACACTTTGTCCAATATTTCACTATTATTGAGTAAGGCTATAAAAAATATCAATGAAGAGCCTCTCTTCTGCCCACCTGCACCTATGTAGATGCTCCTTTTCACCGTCCTCCCTTTCAGCAGCCCTCCTGCCTGCCTGCGCCCTGTGCCCATGCTGGGGCTTCTCTTCACTGACTTCTCCCCTTGCTGCCCACCGTGACCTTGGAGGTGCCCTTTTAATGAGCCTGCCCCTCTTGGGGCAGCCCTTTCTGCCCATTTGTGTCTGTGCAAGCATTCTTCACCCACCTCTCCCTTTTCTTATAAAACTGCCCTTTGGGGTTAAAAAATTCCCAAGTGGACATAAACAATCTTCATTATAATTTTCTTAGGATAGAATCCTAGAAACAAAACTACGTAATGAACTTTTTAAAGACTTAAAGATATGGCTGAATTGTTTATCTTATGCTAGCTACTTGAATGCCTACTATGTACAGATATTTTTTAGGTAGATTCTTATCATATCTATTTGACAAATGAAAGGACATAGGTCTATTGGCACTATTTCTCCAGAGTCACAGAGATAGCAAGCAACAAGCTAGAACTCAAATTCAGTATTGCTCAACTTCAAAATTCATGTTATTTTCATGTGAATTCCAAAAATAAATTGATTATCAAATCATTTTATATTTACTAGGGAGAAATGTGGAAAGTACAAATAAAAGCAGGGTATATGAAAGTGAATTACCAATGAATTAACCACTTTCAACAAATTAGTATTGTTCTGTGGTTTGCTTCCAGATACAAGTTAGTATTGCTCTGTGTATTGTTCCTGATACAGTTTCTGAATTAAAGTAATTACAACATAGGAGTTTGCATCTTGCCCTTTTAAGTTAATGTTTTCAATGCTGACCCATACTTATAAAAATAATTTTAAAGGTTGCATATTATTATCAATGGATGTTACCACATGGATATTTATAGTTGTTCAACTCACCTGTGAATTTCTTCTTTTCATCCCAGGACTCTCCACGATGCTGACAGACTTCAGTGTTGAGAACCATACTGATCTGCAAAATAAGTCACTGGCAAATTGAAGCCTTCACTGTTTGAAAGTTTTCCATCAAATAGTTGCTCTGCAGATAGGTGTTTCAGGACTTTACAAGTTACTTCACTATCTGACTGAACTCATCAGTTTGACGGTTGTTATTTTCATGCCAGTCTTCCACTCTTTCTGTCTTCACTTCCCCTCCCCCAGTCTGCGAACGCCTAAATGTGACACACATTTATCTTTCCAGAGCTTCTTTTCATTCAGCTTTTGGGATAAAGGGGAGTCCTAAAGATTTCCTTGGAGTCTTTAATTCCCCTGAAAAGAGTATGAATCATATCTCTAGGGTCTTTGTGGTACTGAGGAGAATAAGAATGCATTTGCTGTATATGTGAATTAAAAGCATACACATATGCGGCCAATTTATATGGAATTCTGCTGTGATGTTGTGAAAATCAAGGAAGGTTAGAAAAAAGTCTGAGGTTTATGTCTAATCATACTTCCCCCTAAATATCTTTGTAAATATTTGCTGAACTTTGATTACCATCCCTATGTCAGATGCCTAAAATTCAAAAGGGAGATTCAGCAAACAGTGACCAGAGTCGCTGAATTGGGAATTGAATAACGTAAAACCTGTTCTCTGTCATAAGTGTGTATTGTTGTGAAGGAACCAGAGTTAATAGTGTAAGATCAGATTTCATTCTATTAAAACAACAGCTGTTGTTTTAAAGTCTTTAGTGCCAGGCTGTAGTAAAATTCTCCAGTTACTTTTATTCTTTTCTCTACTACTTAGATTTATTTTAGCCTTTATGAGTTACTTTTATAATGGAAAAATAAAACCTAGGCCTAACTTAGGAATTGTAGGTTTTGTGTAGGGATCTAAGGGTGATTCTAAAGTTTAGTTACAATACCAGTTATAAAGTTTCACAGTTGAAATTAGTGTAAGGATTAGCATTAAAGATCAGTTGTCTGGTAGAGGTTAGTGTACAGATAGTGATAACCTAACAGTAATGTACCAATCCTTTCTCTTTTTTTTTCTTTTCTTTAGTTTCAGTGATAGCCATTAAGATTGTTTACATCTATTTCCCATTTATTTATAATCAGCTTTTTTTTTTATTCCTAGTGCCTGAATCAGTGATTATGGACACTAATGCTGCTTCTTTATAATGATAATTACTATACCTTAGAGTACTGATGTTGTTGTTTTTTTTTTTTTCTGAGCTAGTGCTCTAGTGCCCAGCTACTGACAATAGAACCCCCAACTCTTATAAAAATCAGTGGGAGTTAGAGACATCTTACAGATAGACATCAAGGAGGTGAGCTCCTAGAAGGATGTTAGATTTACTGAATTGTCTCTCCTAAAGCCTTTTTGAGTTAAAATGAGTTGCTTACCACAAACAATTCTGTATTCAGGCTCCTGTGGAGCTGAGAAAGGGAGCAATCTAGCTACTTAAAGCAATAAAAGCCCTGTTCATATCAACTCTCTTAAGTAATTGTGTTCCAGGTAAGACATGTAGCACAAATTAAATTGATGTAGCCAACATTTTGTTTTAGAGATATTAGACATGGGTAACACTGTTAGGGCCAGGGACTGTTTCTTAAACTCAGACAATAAGAAGCAGCTTAGAAGACTAAGCACAGTAAAATCATCTGTTCAGACAGGAAGATGTTTCCCCTTTCTCTCTCCCTGGAAAACACTGTCTTGTTTAAACTTCTCTTGAAAGCTTTTATGGCTGCCCACATGGTCTTGTGATTGATGCAGCTTGCCTTTTATTCCTGTAGAAATGTATCCTTCTCTAAAGGTAGCAATTACTTACTTCCACAGCCAGTGTGCCTCAAAGAAATTATTTCCCTTTCCCATTTGTCATATTCTGCCAAGGGTTTAGACAGAGCAGCTGCTAACTATGACTCAAAGTCAAGGAGGAATCCAGAACTTTGATTCACAGTGTATATCACATTACATTTCACATTGTTTGACCTCACAGAAATCGGATCATAAATGACAGTGTCAGGAAACTACAGGGAACCACTAGAATGGTCAAGCTAAGAAAAGCTATTCTGCAAAGCTGATTGTTGAATGTCTTACATACTTAACACTGAATTCAAAAGTATAAAATCAAGATTTTCCCTGGGATCTTACAGAAGTAAAGAAAACCTATTCCTGTCACAGCACTTTGATTCCACTAGTTTGTATACTCTGTCTGGTAAGATCCCTATCTATATATTGAGTATTGACTGCATACATAGGTCTCCCCCCAAAATTGGTTGACTATAAAGAAGACAGAGAGCTTTGTTTGATAGTTAAGAATACCCTGATCTGACTCATGTGCTTTTCCTTGGGGCCCTGTCCAGTAACCTGTGGAATCTCATTCCCCAATATTTGGTACCCATCTTCCCCACTTGAAAATAAACACACTCATTGTTAGGATCCTACCACTGAAAGGTGCTAAGTAATTCCCTAGTGCTCTTAAATGTCTTTACATTTAACTATAACAGTATTTCTAAGCAAACCAGTGTGCTCCGTTCCTTCTTCCATGCTCTCATTGCTGATTTGTTCTTACAGAACTTAAGAGTATTTTTTTAATGTTCTTCCATTCATTCCAATAATGTCCATGGGAAAAAAGACAGAATGGAAATTATTTTCTCCATAGTACAGCTGGAAAATTGATAGCAAAAGGCATGAAGTATCCCCAAAAGGCACATAGCTGTCTTGGACAGAATTCAGTTACCTGTCTAGTACACTGTTAGGATGACTTGCTTCTCAGTACTGCAAACTGACACAGAACAGCTTAGAACATTGACAGCCATTAAGGCAGAATCACATTTCAGACAAGTCCCATTTTGTACCAAGTCAGAAAGTGTGCAGTTTTCTATGTGACAGAAATGTAATATGTGCCTCTTTCTCCCATTGGCCCCATGTGACGTGTTTCACACTGCATGGCATCTGCCAGTGCCATCATTTCCTGTGGCACCATAGAGCCCATTCTCAGGGCTCTCTTTGCTAGGGAAAATGGGCTTCCCTATGTTTGTGCCAAATTGCACAAAGTATAGACATTGAGCTAATGGAGATTTAAGCACAATTCTATCAGGTATGTTTTGAGAGTGTTGAATATACATTATTGTAACATCCATCTGAAATTTAACATGTCCCAGATTCACAGGAATGTAACAGTCAAGCAAAGCCTATCTTTTCTGCCTCTCATCACACATATATTTGTGAGTGCATGCATGGGCACACACAACAGCTGCCAAACTTTGTTGCCTGGTAATCAGGATCGAATACTTTGAAGGAATGATTCTCTATCCTTTCCTTTTAGGAAAAAATCCTAGCGGTCCCTGCAAATAAAGTACATTCCATTTATACATCCCAGAATCTCTGTTCCCAGAATGGTTAAGATACTCATTTGGTGCAAAAGACATATAACAAGATTGTTAGACCCTTCCATAAGTCCCATGTTCTTAGAAAATCCGTGAGTTCCATCTAGTCAGTAGAAATTGATTTTTTACATGTACCGCACTTCTTTAACCATAATTGTAATGAACCATATTAAATTGTAGTCTTGCACGCAGCTGTTATCTAATATAATAATGAATGGGTGATCTAATAGCATGCAACCATGACTGTCTGCTTCCTCAAAAGAGCTAGGGCTCTGTCCTGCACAGTATTCTGAACTATTAGTTGTGTTCTTAGTAAGCAGCCTGGTGTACGGTCATCAGCACAATGAGTTAAAACATAATAAAATGTAAAGTATCAGGAAATAGATTCAAATATGGGGTAGCATTACGGAGTGGAAAAAGCAAAATGGTAAAATTCATTCAAGGAGTAATTGCTGTCACCCTGCTGGTTAAATCAGCAAAGGGATAAGGCAGGAAATCTGGTAATGGGTGGCCATAATATATGAAATGCATTGGAGAGCCAGAGAAAGAAAGGAATTGGGGATCTGAGTATTTAAGCTCATGTTGCCAATTAGTTACAAATCCTTTTTCCCACTATCTGCTCAAAGTGATTGTTTATCGTATTCTTAGAATCATGTGTCTTTCTGCAGAAGTGCTCACAAATGCTGGCCAGCTTTAGCCTATGTCCTTCATTAAAAGCATATGCTTAAATTTGTCGTTTCTTTTATATACTATGGTTTTGTTAAAGAGTGTTGGCAAAGCCTCATGGAAGTTTCTGTACATCTCACTTCAGGAGATATGGTGATGTTTATTCACTCCTTGGTTGATTGGTGTATGTTGTATTTAGACTCCTCTCTATTATTGTCCAAAGATTTTTGCCTATGCCCATTATTTCTCATGTCCTACCTGAGTATGAGTTGGGAAATTAGCAGCAATGGCTGTTAGCTAGAAAACTGGCTGGTGGGATTTAATCATGTTCAGCCTCTGTTTAGCCTCTCATATTTTGCCTTTTCACTCTATTTTTTTTAAAGATTTATTTATTAATACAGAACTGGGGTACAGGCCAGAGGTACAGGGGCGGTAAGAGGATTCACCAGAGACAGAGTTGGAAGCAAAGCAGGCAGATCCACAAAGTACACTGTCGAGGGGAGCAGTGGGCCAGTCAGGAGAGGTCTGCTGCACAATGTGAGTCAATCCTGGGGCGGGTGGGGTTTGAACTCAGGCTGAAGTGGCTTTAGCTTCTTAGTGCTCTGCTTTAACCTGCTGTGCCACTAGGGAGGGCCCTTCACTCTATTTTAATACCTAAAAAAAAAAAGGCTTATATACCGGAGGATGGTGTGACTTTAGTTTTGCCTTTCCTTGCATTCAAGACTATTTTTATTATTCTCCAGGTGCATGTAACCTGAAAAAAAAATTTTTGAATAGACCCACATTGAGTAAGCCTCAAATAAAGTTCCCCTCAATAGACGCACCATTTGCACAGAATTCTCTCCAGAGAGAATGAAGAAAAACCTGCGCCACCCCCATTAGCTACTATGTAAGACAGAAGTCATTAAAAATGCAGAGTATTGGAAGCTGAAGTTTGGAAAAGTCACTGCCAACCTTGACTAAACAATAATAGAGAACCTGATCATTTGGGAAAGGCCCAACACTTAGAGGTCTGACTATAAAGACCAGAAAGAAGTCTCTGATACAAGTTAAGCTTGTTTTAAAAAAGGTGCTTTGGCCTACCTCGGTAAGTAGCTCAAACATCCTAGGTAAAATCTCACATGATTTGCTGCAATGTACCTGCTACAGACAGCTTAATTTGCATGACAAATACAATGTAAAATACTCAAGTACTAGGAACAAAAGACAGCTAATTTATTTCTATATTAAAAAGACGTAAAAGAGACCTTTACTGCAAATCTGATTTGAGTAGCGGTTACCAGAGAAGTTCAAGTACCGACATTTAAAGGGAAACTTTGGTTTACAGATATAAAGATATACATATAATGATTTATGCTGAAATGTGTAGACATTGATATGCACTTTTATAAACAAAATTTTCAAATTAATTTTCTCATCAATAATCAATGATACTAAAAAACTAGTCAGATTCTCTGCATATCAAATACTCCCATAGCAGCATTAATGCTTACACTTAAAACTCTGGGGATTTTATGATGGGATGGGGCATGGGATGACAAGTCTAAAGTAAATCTGGCTGTAGCATTTAATTTCAATGAAAATACAGTTTACTATACAGGGCAAGCAACTCTTTTGTTACTTGGAACATTAAAGAATGTAGATTACCAGTTAGTCAAAACCTGTCATTAAGTTATATTTACAATGCAC